CTATTAGAGGTTTTAGCGGTAACAGTTGTTTCATGGATTTTACGAAATTTTCCGATGAAAAATATATATTTACATGAACACCTTTTAAGGACCAGAATTTTTTTCTAAGGACCAGAATTTTTTTAAGGACCAGAATTTTTTCTAAGGACCAGAATTTTTTAAGGACCAGAAGTTCATACTAGAGCCGAACAGACTGGTTAGTCCAGATAACCTGCCCACGGCCGCGCGTCGCCCAGTCTTTTCTTGAACTTGGGGATGTTCCAATGTGGAAGGTGCCAGGCGACAAGGCTGGTCTCTCTCTCTCTCTCTCTCTCTCTCTTTCACGACACGATTACCAGCTGAGCCGACTGATGTTACATATAAATATTTGTTTCTTCATGGAGTTTTCATCAGTGCCCTTGACAACGAAATCAAACTTTCAAACATCTGCGAACCTTACTTCATCTGTTTTTGTTGCTGAATTCCTCACAAAAATATTCTAACTTGAAATATCACATAGGATAGATTTTCACATAATGAAACTCTTTTTTCGCAAACATCTCTTCATGCTTCTCTTCCTTATTCTAACCATCAATTCAGCTACCTCAGTCTCTATTATGACTTCGAATTCTGGAGGTAGATATCGGTTTGTTCACACCGATTGTTGTCTCGAAAATAATTGAAATTTCAGAGGAACAATTTCCAAAAGCGAATACATCATGTAATAACTTTATTGAAATCCAATTTCGTCTAAATTACACTTTCAGAATCATTGCCGCTTTTGTACTGTTTTGTACCAATCTTCCTTTTGTGTCTCTGGATACACACAACTTGTGAAAAATGGCATGAACCTGAAAAACCAGAGGGTTCCGTACAGTATACAGTTTGATATTTTATTCTCACTCCTTTGTTTCGAGAAAAATTTAAAGATTCATTGATTCACAAGGTTTCTATTAATAAAAACCTTTTTTTTATACGGTTTTAATCCTCGGGGGTAACTTCTGGTCGGAAATTGGTCGGATCCTGGATGAACCCGCTAGTAAAGGCGACCAAACACTGACCAAATTATGAAAGGGTTCCGACCTAGTAGTAATTCAACTTTCAGCTTCCGAAAATGTCTGGCCATGGTCCGCTATAGAGCCGTTTTTGGGCAAGTTCCAACCAGGATCTGGCAAATGTCCGTCCTGAATCCGAAACCTTCATAAGATCCGACCAGAAGTATAAGATCCGACAGATGATTTTGAGGTGGCCGAATGACGGGACATCGGCACGATAGCAACGCATTTCATAAAAAGGAAACACAATACACCGTTACGGAAGAATGCTCAACATAACTCAAAAAAACTCTGGAAACCCTCTTTCGCTTTTAATAGAACCTTAGATTTCCAAAAATTAATGCCCACTGTCAGACGAGAAGATATTTATTCATGGAGTTTTCGTCAGTGTCCTTGACAACAAAATCAAACATTCAATCAGCAGCTAATCTTACAAGTGAAGCTTGTTCCAGTTGTTGTTGCTTCTAGTTTAAGTCTTGTTTAAGATTTGTTAAAAAATGAAGCCCACTCTCTTCATTTTTCTCTTTCTTATACATTCAGCTAATTCAGTCTCTGTTATGACTTCGAACTCCGGAGGTAGATATCGGTTTGTTCATACTGATAGATGTCTCAAAAAATAACCGATGTTTCAGAGAAACAACGCGAAAAAATGATCCCCAAATGTAACAACTGTTTTTAAATGCACTTTCAACCGAGACACATTTTCAGAATCATTGCCGCTTTTGTACTGTTTGTACCAATCTTCCTTTTGTGTATCTGTATACACACATCTTGTAAAAAATGGCATCGACCTAAAAAACCAGAGAGTTCCGTACAGTATACAGTTTGAAATCTCATCCTAACTCAATTGTTCCTAGAAAAAATTAAAATGTATTGATTTACAAGGTTTCTAATAATAAAAACAATTTTTTATAACGTTTTGGTCCTCGGGCGTCGGCGGCAGCGTCTGGTCGGAAGTTGATCGGATACTGGATGAAACCGCTAGTTGAGCAGATCAAACTTCGACCAGCATGAAAAGGTTCCGACAGATTTCAACCTTCAACTCTGACCAAAACCTGATAATGGTCCGCTATACAGCTGTTTTGGGCAAGTTCCGACCAAACTCTGGCGAATATTCCTCCAGAAGCCGAACTTCTGCCCAGAAGTTATGAGCCGACAACCGAGATAACCTTTCTTTGAGTTGTACGTGATTTCTAGAATACATCACTTTTTTATCAGAAGTTCAGCGTCTCCCTCTTCTTCTTCCTCCCCGCATGCACATGTTGTCTTGGCAACTTTCACGGCCAGAAGTCAATCTAGTTTGCTCCTTTCGCTCTTATAACCTTGTCCCTCAATCGTTTCAGTTTCTGACATTTGCGTTTTCCAATGAAACGCCTGTTTCTAAAAGTTTTGCTCTTCAGTTTTATTCTGTTTTATCCGATAGATAGTAAAGGATCGAGTAGTTCAAGTCGTGGATCAAGTGGATCCAGAGGTGGTGGATCCTCGGGAGGATCTTTTTCTTCATCATATACTTCATATGGATATTCATCTGGATCGAGTGGTGGAGGTGACGTAGGAAGTGTTATACTCACATTGCTCTTAATGTGAGTTTATCGAAAAGAAACTTTTTCAAATGTCCTAAAAAATTTCAGAGTCGCAGTCTGTATTTTTGTTTGCGTTTTAACTTATTGCACTAAAGCATGCGATGAAAACAAGCATTCCGATGAAAAGCCAAACATTCCAAACCCAAAAGTCGTCTATCCTCCCTATCCGCCTGTGGTTCAAGATTCCAAAGTGTGAATCAATAAAATTTACCCCATTTTTTTTCCTTTGATATTTCTAATAAAGGTGTTATATGACATTGTTTTCGATTCACTCTTTCCGTCTTACTGTATGTATTGCGTAATAGAAAAGTCCATCTCGTGATGACATCATCATTCGGTGCGTGCGTGCTGCTCGGAGACAATTGCGTATGTGACCCCTACCAAAAATAGGGCGAATGACCGTACTTAGGACGGCACTTCCGTCGGACCATCTGCTGGATGTGCACAACGAGGACCATGTAGATTAGAGAATCAAAAAGGAAAGTGACACAGAGAAATCAAAAGATTAGTGTTATTGAAAAGTATCATGGTTAGGTTAGATAGAGTAGTTTGATTAAAATGAGATTCGGCGATTACTGGAATTGGTCGGGACTGAAAAAAAAACAGGTTATAAAGTAATCTCCAAAATCAAAGTAAACAGTAAAAATAATTGTTGAAATGTTGTTATTTAGAATTAACTGCTTTTCAGAATAACATTAAAACAGTAAACCAAACTACCAAACTATTTCAAATATTGTAATAGAACTCAATTATCTCGATTCCTACGCAAGGTATCGAAAATGTTTCAACTGTCAAAACACTTCTGATATCATGATAAACAATTTATCTGTTGACAAGTTGTTGAAATCTTTAACAAAAATTGAGATAAATAGGTTTAAATTTAACAGTTAAGGAGCCCTTCTATTACAGGTTTTACGGTGAGTTTAATTTCAAAAATATGTTTATTGTCATCAAAAAAGGAAATCGCTGTACCAGAGCTTACCTCTTTTCGTTTGTTTTGAATTCCAGACGACTCTCAGATTTTTCAGATTTTAAAATACTGTGACGAAAGTTCATAAGGTACAGGTTTTACGGTATAATCTGCGAAGTAAATTATTTTTTTTTTGTTTTTGCACTTATACATTTTCAACATGACTCATTCCGAACAACATTTTTTCAAATTAAGTTCTCCATCGCCGACGTTTCTCTCGTTCAGACGGCCTTAGATCTCCTATCCTTAATCTAGATTTAGCCATTTCAAAAATATATTCTACTCTCTTCTACGCAATTCGATATTCTTTTTGTATTTTGCTGACGCAGTTCGAGCACCCAATTTTCGTTTCTAGTCTTAACAAAAAAAATCTAGTCACCTGATTTTTTCTCTCTAACTTCAGTTGGGAAAAGGCAGCTCCTCCCTTTTCCCGCCGTTTCCCTGACAACCGCCGCGCTGCCGTTTTTTTTGTTGTCTGCTGTCTCTTTTTGATAACAAAACTTTCAGACACTTTCATTTCCTTTCTGACAATTCTCTGAATGAGTCGGCTTTTTTGGAGCTCTTTGCTCCTTTTTGTTCTTCTGAGCCATTATCGCACAGATGCCAAAGGTAGTATGGGAGGAGGTCGTGGTGGTGGCGGTGCCCGCAGTAGCTCTTTCAGCTCCGGATCTCGAAGTTCTGGTTCATCTTTCTCCTCTTCTTCTGGATCATATTCTAGACCGAGTACCGGCACCAGCAGTTACAGGTAAAGCATCTTCCTTTTTTCATTCATCGTCTCATTTTTAGATCTGGAAATACCCAGTATAACTCTAATTTCCGTCAAAATGTTTTCCATTCTTCCACTTCGACGACCACTTTTATGTATTCTCCCATGACCCATTCTCACGTCATCATATCTCCGATAACTCCAATCTAGTGAGTTTTCCATTTGATTAAAAACACCTGGAACCAATTGTGTTTTTTTCAGTTTCGGCAGTTATCATTATTACTGGGGTGGTCATTATGTCCATTCTCCGGAAAGGCCACAAACTTGTGAATATACAATCACAGAAGATGATCAAGAATTGAGAAATGTAAGTTGCCAATTAAAATTTGTCATTTTCCATTTCAATCTATAATTTCAGGTAACATTCTCAAATGGTACCAAACCAACAACTCTAAACTTTGGATGTAAAAGTTCAGAATCTTGTTGTGGACTCGAGTGTTGTTCGAACAACTCCACATTGATAACTATTGTGTAGGAATCTAACTATCCGAAATCACATAACTTTTTTTTCAATTTCAGAGTTATTTTCGTGGGAATCGTCGTCCTTATTATGGTTTGCTCTTGGTGCAGCAAGAAAGGATATTGTCAGAATGAGTCAGTTGTAACCACTGGAGTTCCTGTTATTGCCACTACGACCACAACTCACACATTCACAACTCAATCCGGTCCACCACCACCGCCAGGATTCCAACCACAATTCGGCGCAACTCCAAGTGCTCCGGTATATGCTGCTCCTCCAGCCTACAACAACTACGAGCAGAACTCGCCATACGGTGGAAGACCAATCAGTTCTGGTCAAATCCACACTTCCTACAAACAATGATCTCTGATTCGACTCTTATAATGGCATGTGATTATTTGGATAATGTGAATAAACGAATTTTGAAATGTTTTGATTTTTTCTTCTGTCTGTTCTCAAACTCCCAGATACTGAACACTCTTCAAAACTAACAGTAGTCACGTTAGTATGCTTTGGTTATTCCGCAATTCATTGCTGCCCCTCCTCCTCGCGGTGGATGGGCGGACCCAACCTCGCTTTCTCTCTGCACGCTTGATCTAATAGTAAGCGTCCGCCTTTCCACCGCACTTGCCCTTTATAAGAAGCAGGATCTCGTCCAAAACCTCACAATTCGAATACCAACCATGGCTCGTACAAAGCAAATCGCTCGCCGCTCTACTGGATCTTCAACGAATCCCATGATGCCGAAGACCACTCCTCCAGCAGGAATTGTGAAGGTAGCTCGTACCTTGGGAGGTGTGATGAGACCCAGCCGCCACAGACCAGGAACCGTCGCTCTGCGAGAAGTTCGGCGATATCAAAAATCCACCGAGCTCCTCATTCTCAAGCGTCCCTTCGAACGTTTGGTTCGCGAAATAGCACAAGATATGAAGACAGACTTTCGCTTCCAATCATCTGCCATTGAAGCTCTCCAACACGCTTCCGAAGCGTTTCTAGTGGAACTTTTTGAGCTCACCCAGTTATGCTCAATTCACGCCAAGAGAGTCACCATCACGAAAAATGATATTCAATTGGCCAGAAGAATCAGAGGAATTTAAATATCCTGAAACTCAACCCAACCGAACCCAACGGCCCTCTTTAGGGCCACCATTCGAAAATTCAACTCTAATGTATGTGAAATGATAAAGTTTATGTGTTTTTGTTTTTTTTTGCCTATATTCTGACAGAAAAATATAAATACACTCCTTGACACCAATACTATTGTTGCAGACACTATATGTAGTTCAGGAAATGTCGCACTTCGCAAAACCGTGATCAGCAGAAGGCTACCGAGCTCCTCATTTTTTAATTCAAGCGAATCAGCCTAATTCTCAATGACATCCAACGTCTCCGAGGAAAACACTGCAGCCCCTTTGAACCCTGTGAAAAATACTACAGTATCCATATTGCCCGAATCGGAAACTCAAAAAAAAATAATTCAAATGTGTTTTTTTTTTCGGCTGCGTATGTTTTGTTTCGAGTCTACTCTGCAGCAAAGACACCTTCACTTCAAAGAAGTTGCCGATCTTGAATAAAAACATTTCGCCGTATTACGAAATCCAATGGGAAAATTTGAATGCGAATTTTTCAAATCATTAGGTTGGTAAGAAAGTTTCTTCCTTTTTGAGAGGGTTGTTTTTGAGCTTCGATTTCTGGTTCTCAGAGTGGTGTACCAGGCCAAAATTTTTTTTTGTTGGAGAGCTGTGTTCGGGGTCTATTAGATCCTAGATTTTCAAATTTTTATCTCACTTCGCGTTGGAGAAATGGCTATTCTTTTGGATCTTACCCGACTGCATATAGACATCATGATTATGTTTTTGTTTTTATTTGCTCTTCAAATACCCGGTATTCACAAGCAATTGGTGAATTTACATAAGGGACATGTTCGGCCATCGCCTACAATTTGCCTTTGGTTCAAAAAATTTCGCACAGGGGAGATCCGGTTGAAAGATGCCAACGGCCCAGTGAGTTGGATCTCGATCAATTGCTAAAAGTCGTGAAGTCGCATTCATTTCAAACCACTCGTAAAATGTCAAAAGCATTGTCCGTTAGTTGATTAAGTATTGTGAACGGATTGAAGTCTCTTGGCAACTTCAAGAACTGGGTCGATTCGTATCCAATACTTTGAAGGACTACAATATGGATTTCCATGTGGACATGAACAAGTTTCTTCTAGCATTTCTTCGCACGTTCAGTTGGGTGGATGATCTAATTACTGTAGATGGGAAGTGGGTAAGCTACTCCCTTAATGTACGGAAGGGTCAGTCGATTGACAAAGAAAAGCTAGCTCTAGACGTCTCGAAACCTAAATTTGAGAAAAGGGGATGCTATGTATTTGGTGGTTTTTCAATAGGATAGATTCTGAGAACATTTAGATGAAAGTACCACTATAACTGCCGCATTGTATATTTTCTAATTAAAGTAGTTGAATTTGAAAGTCGAATCAAAACGAAGAGAAAAAACGAATGTCCGCTTCCACCGCGACAATGCGAGACCACTTGTGACTAGAGGGATCAGCCAAAAATTCATGTCGTTCGGCTGAACCATTCTTTTGCATTCATCGTATTCTCCAGACCTTGCCCTATTTTGCCCGCGTGGCTCAGTCGGTAGCGGCGCCGCACCCTCAATCATCGCCCTCACAAGTTCAACTCCTCGAGGGGCATCTTTGAACGGAATTTCGAGAAAATTATTTTTTTCATGTCCCCCCACCTTTAAAAATACCGTAACCAAAGATTATAAGGTGAATAAAACTTTATCACAGAAACATTATGTTTTTCGTAAGATGCAAATTTAGAAAAATAAATGAAATGAAGTGATGAAATGAGATCAATGAACAGTTAAAACCGAATGGGGAGAAGATTTAGAGAGCAATCCATTTGAGGACCAACATGATTCCGGCTGATATCGCTCCTAGAAAAAATAATTTTATTTTGGAATCTGCTGGGGCATAAACTAACCGGCAACCGGTAATGTTACCACCCATGAAATAACGATGTTTCTGAATATGGACCATTTGATTCCTTCACCAGAACGTATTGATCCAACAGCAACTACACTTCCCACCTGAAAATCTATTTTTGAAAAAATCTATATCATTTCGAACTTCCTACCAAGCAGTGAGTTGTACTAATGGGCAGGCCAATTTTACTGGCTAAGAGAGATGTCATGGCTGCTCCAAACTCAATTGTGAAGCCACTAGCTGGATTTATTTCAGACATTTTTTGTCCGACAGTCTTGATGACACGGTGTCCGAGGACCCAGAGACCAACACAGATGGCAAAGACACCGTACAAGAGGACGTATATTGGAACCTGTGCAAATTAATATTAACGACTGAAAAAGAAAATAATACTTACGACTTCCTTCTGTTCTACAGACTTGTAACGATAGATGGAAATAAGTGCAGCAAGTGGGGCGACAGCGTTACTGACATCTTGTGCTCCGTGAGCAAATCCAGCGAAGCAAGCAGTGAAGACTTGAATTGTTGAGAAGAGTTGAGTAGTACTACGACTATCAACACGAGATCTGTCCGGAAGAAGCCAATTGAAAAACTTTCTGACTTTTCCTGGTGCTTGTTCTGGTTTTGGTTGAATTTGTTCATCTCCGTTTTTGATCTCTTTGAGTTCCGCTGATCCACGTCCAGACTCCATGTCAGAGAAACATGGTGGAGTTGGTGGAACTTCTGAATCTTGGATTTTAGCTTGAATCCTTGGTTTCATGACAAAATGGGCAAATGCAGCGGCTAGGAATCCAACTCCAAGAACAATAATGACAATACCCCACGAGGGAATTTGATCAAATTTGAGGACTGAAAAAATATTGTAAGAAGAAAAAAAAATCACAGTTTTATGATTACGTTTGGAGCCATCCCAGAAAATCATGAGAGCGTTGAATGCCAAACAGACAAAATAGAAGACTGGAAGAGCACGGAGCCCACTTTTGACGGGATTTGCGGTTCTTAAAACAGTGTGATCCACAATGATGTAAATGATGCAGGATATGGTTCCGGAAAGAATAGGAGAGATGAACCAGGACGCCACTAAATTATATCTAATTGATGTTATAAATCGGAGTTTTAGGTATACCAATTTTGACAATAGCCATCCATTGAATACCATCAAAACCTCGGAGCACAATTGAGAATCCCACAGTGGCTCCGACCAATGAGTGGGTTGTAGATACTGGCATGTGGAATACGGTAGCGATCATAAGCCAAGCAGCGCATCCTGAAATATGCTGTAGTTGTTTTTCTGCTTCGTTGTTTTACACTGGCAAGTTTGAGCTAATTTTTCTTGTCTCCTATGCTAGATATCAAAAATTTGTCAACTGAGGATATGCTTGTGATATTATGATAAAGAACTTATCAGTTGAAAACTTTTTCATATCTTTGATAAGAGCCATGATGAATTAGCTTAAATTTGACTATACGGGGAGCCGACTATAACATGTTTTACGGTAATTCAAAAAAATCAAATAGAACATTTGATGTCATCCTCTACCAAACCAATTTCATAAATCATAATCCTCTATTTTTAAAAGGCTAAAGTCGTTCATAGAAACAACCGTGAGTCACATTTCAACTACAGTACCTCCAAGAATCGCGACTTGACCCAACAGCAATTCTTTCGGATCATTCGCATACTGCGTCGTATCCACCACTCCTTTCCTCATTGTATCCGTCACACTCCATCCTGTAATAATAATAACAACAATATACATAAAACCAGTGAACTGTATTGTTGTGTGTGTGACTCACCAACTAGTACCGATCCTAGTGTCTCGAATATCGAGGCCATTATGTAGGCCTGAATAATAGTGACGACTCCCGATCCTGAAAACTCATTCCAATTTTTTATTTGCAATTTCAAAATTTGACATACCGACAGAAGTACCGAATGCGTTCGAGACATCGTTGGCTCCCATTCCAGCTCCCAGAAGGAAGGCCAATATGATTCCAACGATAAGAGCCCATAGTACAGAACTCTGAAATTTTGGAAATAATTTTGAGAATCTAATCTTGCACAAACCTGATCAAAGTCTCCAATGACTCCACTTATTGTAGTAGTGATGTCAGCCAAAATAGCATTTGTTGTGTCCATGTCTGAAAATAAAACAGTTCTATAAAAATGACCTTATGATATTTTTATAGATCAAAATGAAAACATATTTCGAAATATAACTGCGAACAGACGGATCATCATTTTAAAAAAAGTGGGATTGGTGGTTCTCTGTGACACATTTATACAAAAAAGAAGTGGTCGCCGAATGGTTTATTCGAACGGACACCTCATTGTCATAGAATACGTGACGGAGATTCGGGAGGAGTTGTGCAAATACAAGACAACAGACGAGTAGATGATAAGCCGATTTTTGATAGTATAATGAAAGACCGCCACAGGGAGGGTTCCCATGTTTATAGGTCACAGTTTAATTATAGTTTTTTGTTTTTGTTTTGTTGTCTTCTTCTGCCATGTGGGCATGAAAAATATACAAAAAGTGATGATCGAGTGATCAAATAGACTGTCTTTGAGAAATATATGTGAAAGATCAGAAAATTAAAAAGAGAGAACCAGTTTAGAATCAAAAAGTGACGTTTGGGAATACCGGGACAATTCAGAAAGATCCATTCAAAAAGTCACTAGTCGGTAAAGGAACGCTTTGGAAAATGATGTTTTTTTTAAGTCATGAACATTATATTCAAATCATCTGAATTAAATAGAGAATTTCTGATTAGCCAGTACTGTCATAATATTAACGAGCAGGGTTGACCAAAAAACGACCTCCGAAATTGAATCGAAAAAAACCTTTTTTGCGGTTTCTGGGGGGGAAAAAACGGGAAAAATGTTTTTGAGTTTTAGGGTCCCCAAAAATGTTTTTATCTTACCGAAAAAAAAAACCAAAAAAAACCGGAAAAATGTTTTTAGATTTTCGGCTGAAATTGGGGTTGAAATGAGAATTTTGAATATCATCTTTAAAATTTTGGTTGTACGACGAATCGGAAATTTCCCAAAATTAAATATGTAGTTCTGATTTCTCAAATTTTTTAATTTGGAACCATTTTTGATTAAGGAACATTTAATCTTGCTACAGTTTCATTCTAGGAAATCTCCAATCCGTCGTACCACCAAAGTTTTAGGTCCGAAAGTTTTTCGTTTCTCGACCTCCGAAATTTTTTTCACACAACTTTTTTTCAGTGACTCAGAGAAGCATGGTGGAGTAGGTGGGACCGAAAAAATGGAAAAAAAATTCGGTCCCGAAAATTTTCATAGCATTTTAACCGAGACGTTAATGTCACTTCCATAGATGAATTTCAGATCTCTGAACTTGGTCCATCTGGATCTTACAAGTTTGCAGTCTAAATTTTTGACAAACTTGAAGTACGTAATCCGAACGATTATGCTGTTCACATCATATTTTCAGAACTTTGTGTTTTTTTCAAGTTTTCCGACAATTTTTAATATTTTGTTGTTTTTTAGGAAATCAAATAATTTCTTTTTTTTAATCAAATCAACACAAACCCGTAGATCATCAATGAACTGATTCATATTCAGAATCATAGTTTGTGTAGGCGACCGATAGCGAGACGCGACTGATTCTCTTTCCAAAAACACATCAACATTGCAGAAATCAGAAACTGTCATTTGGAATGGGTCTACAGTCTCGATGGTTATTTTTCGTTTCATGCTCTATTTGTTTCTAGGATGAAAAAGAAAAGAGTTGATTTTCACATGGGGGAACATGAGCGGAAACAAGATGGAAAATCCGTGAAGTAAATGTTTTTAAAGATGAACAAGGAGGAGAAGTATGCGGAAATTCGGATAATAATTCATCTAGAAAAACACAGTCATAAAAAGCAGAGTGAACGGTTGTTTATTGAGAGATTTTGGGTGACTGTGTCAACAGGATAAACGGAATGGATCATGGAAAGACAAGTTTTTTTTACGACAGAGCGATTTCCAGACTTACAGTTTATAGGTTTTCTAGATTCATGTTAAATCTCTGGTAAGCCAATTAAAAGCAAAAAAAAACAAAACTCATTTGAAGCAGTATATTTTATGAATTTTTATTTTATGAGTTTTTTTTCAGGAAACTCCCGGAACGTTTGGCCCGTTATTGTGTTATGGACAAATCTTTTCGAATAACTTTGAGGAACTTTGCTTATTTTGTAACTAATTTTGAACATTAAAATATTTTTCAACCACAATTTCAACTTGAATGATTCAAAGGTAAACTACCGTATTTCCCGTTCAGAATAAAAAAAATAAACGGGAATGAAATCTGAAAAAGAAACCGGGAAAAAATGAAATAAGCAATTAGGAAAAAGGCGGAGATGGGGCTGAAAACAAGTGGGGGCTCCTAGCCGATGAGTCTGCATTCCTTCCTCTCACTGGGGACCGATTTATAATCAATTTTCAGAGACAAAAACAAAGAAGAAGAAGAAGAAGAAGAAGAAGAAGAAGAACACAAACATCAAATTCGTCGTTCTGTGAAGTTGAGGATCCATAGAATACATCGGAAAAATTATCATCGGAATGCATTGTTCGTATTGTCCCGTCTGGAAAAAACGAACGGAAAAAAGATGACTCAAAATGATTCCATTTTCTCCCGAAACACAATAATACTCAGTTTTTCTTGTTCCTCCTTTTGCTCCACCCTGATTTTCCTGTTCAGTTTTCGTGTGTGTGTGTGTGTGGTAACACAAATATTGTCTACCCAAACAAAATCCACTTGAAAATTCGTTCCGCTGCTCCTCAAAATGGTCATTTTAGTTTTTCATACATCCCTCAAACACCCGGTGGCCAGTCGGTGACCAAGGAGTATAAACTGATCTCCGATAAAATTCAGATAACTGATTGAAAAATCTGTGGAGAATCATTCCTGGTACAAGCAAACAGTAGTACGTGTAATCTCAACACCAAATACTCCCAGATTGTAGTTCTTTTGGAGAAAATAGACAGAAGATCTAGGAGAAACTAAACAAGAAAAGGAGAAACTAAACAAGAACAATTTATAAAAGGTGATCTGATCTTTTCCTCTTTTGATTTTCTGTTTATCTGCTTCCCGGCGAATGATTAATGAGATTTCGATTCGCAGATGTTTCAATTGTCGTTTTAAACTACACTCTTGTTCACTTCTTCATTTTGCAAAATCCAAGAATATCTCCTTTCGAATATCATATGAATTCAGAAGGAAAGAGGAACAATCGTATAGGGAAAGGATAAGAATCCCTTGCCGTTCTGGTCCAAAGGTCGATATAGATAACGAATGTTCACCGACCACCCCGCGGCGTTATCTCACAAAATGTTGTCTGTCTACACATAGGACTACTGTACTCTTGTAAGCACATTATCTCTAATTTTGTATATAATATGCAAACAAATGTTATGAAGCATGGTGTGTTTTGAACGATAAAAAAGTTTATTTAATGTTATAATTTATGTCTGCATAGAAGAGCGTATTTCAAAGTTTGAATTATTTTTGATTCTCAAAATCTTGAGAAAACAACTTTTTTCTCCGAATCATTTTTCAATTAACTTCCTAAAAACGAAGATGACTCGTCGAGCAATTAAGGACCATCCAACAAATTCTGATCACCTTTATTTTCTTAGAAATGCACAGCATAACAAGTCTCGTCATAATAATGATCAATGGGATGTCACATTCAAATTACCCGTTTAAAAAACCGGCGAGAAGAGGTAGGAAAGCGGAAAAATAAGTGAAAAATAGGTATCACGGTAATTATGGTGTCTGTGATTGATTTCAGAAATCACTTTGGAAGAGCATAAACAGCATCGAGATAACTGTGGGCAAACTCGTGAACGAGGGAACGGTCTGGGATACTTTGAGCAAGTCCGTAGATGGCGGCTTCACTCTTTTTGTCGGACTCAGTCACTGGATTTTGTCTGACGAAGTCAGCTGCTGCCTGACAATCGGCGATGAAGCTCTCAGCAAGACCTGGTTGGGTATGGTTCATTGTGACCATGATATGAACTCTGAAAATTGAATTTTTTAATTTTATATGTCAAATGGATAGTGGGTACTTACCCAGAAGGGAATTGAAGTCCGTTCAATTGCCAATGTCTTTCTTTCATGTAATTGTGGAATCTGTAGAGTTCAACTCCACTATCAGTTGTCCAACTCACAATGCAGACATCACTTGGCCCTTGCAATTTGATTCCCTTGATTTTTGAAAGCCCATCTCTAATTTTTCTGGTAGTGTCCACAATTTTCTTTGCATTTGCCTTGTATCCATCTTGAGCGTGATACAACATTGCTGCCCAGCAAAGAGCGATATTGTGTCCAGCACGAGATCCCTCCATTGTGGCAGAAGCATAGATACCTCCTTGCCAATCGGCATCACAAAAGTACTGGTTATGAAGAAGTTCCTTGTTTCGGTACAAAACTACAGACGACCCTTTCGGCGCAAGTCCGTACTTATGGCTGTCAGCGGAGATTGAAGATACTCCAGGAACACGGAAATCATATCGAATGGCGTCCTCTTCAAGGAATGGAAGGAGGAATCCACCGAGACAAGCATCTACGTGTACTGGGATGTCGTACTCTAATCCGAGTTGACCGATTGCTTCGATATCGTCAACTGTTCCGAATGGGAAGTTTGGAGCAGATCCAACAAGCATGCAGGTTCTACTGTTGATGGCTGATCTCATTTTGACAATGTCAACTTTGAATGTGACAGGGTCCACTGGAATCTTGCGGACTTTGATTTTGAAAGTCTCAGCGGCTTTGAAGAATGCAGCATGCACCGATGATGGAACAATCCTGAAGTTCATGTATACTGATATGAGGTTCACTCCGATCAGACTAGAAGGAATACGGAAAATGTGTGGTTTGTGTCAGATTTCTAATCTTCCTGATGCGATACACCAATCACCAAAACGGAAACTTACATTTCTGTATACTTTTGTCCTCGCTTCAACAAACGGTTGCGGTGAGCCAAGCAGGCAAGAAGAATTGAAATGGATCCTCCAGTAGACATGGTCCCACATGTGTTTGAGTCTCCATTCATCATGTTACAACACATTCTAACCACTTCAGCTTCCATGATTCTGACTCCTGGGAAAAGTTTTGGCCAAAGGGGATTGGACCAGGCGAATTTTCCGAACACTTGCTCATACATTTCCCTCTCATCATTGTCGTCTTCTGTATTGAAGACTGCTCCAGAAACTCTTCCATCAAGATAGGCTGGTCCTTCAAGACTATCATAAATGGCAGCAAGGCGAAGAACTTCTTTTCTGCCAACTGATCTAGTTGGGATCGTTTTAAAGTACTCGGCAGTATGGTCCTCAATTTTCAAGCTCTTTTCCAATTCCCCTTTCACTTCATCGAGTTGCTTCTGGAAACAATAATTTGGTAATTTGCGAATCCCTCTAAATCATCACTTACATCAATCATTTTTCTAATGAAGGGAACTTTTTTAACCGTTGTGAAAAACCAAGAGCTCAGACGTTTTCGGATACCTGAAAAGAAGAACAAAGTCTATCTGGGTTATCAGTTGAAAGTGATCATTGAGTCTGTCTGGTGAAACTACACACACACGTTGAAATGATGTGAGTATCTAATCAGATTTCGAAAATATCATTGAAAGAAACAGGAAGAGAGGCCAGTCTGACCATTTGTTAAAGCAGATCACCTAAATGAACAGTTGATCTGACGGATAGGTTTGGATGGGATAGAATGACCTTTTATTCTGAAAAAAGGTACTTTTCCTAAAATGATAGACACTACGGCTACTAGAAACTAGTCACGTCATCTGAATGAACAAGAAATGGGACCATGTGTCTAGGACCAATTGTATTTGCTTACCAATATCATCCAGTTGCATATGTCTCAAATTGGTGCACACATAGGTCACAATAACTGAGGTAGCAATGAGAGCAATTGGGTTGTATTTTTGAAGCTCGGCAACAAGAAAGTCTCTAGCATGGAATACATTTTCCATTAGTACCTCTGTCATTCTCTGTCTGAAAATTTGAATAAAATGTATGCCTAGACGAATAAATTGAATGAATTGTTTATTAATGAGAAAGACAAAAGAGATGGGTGAAAACCCAAAAAGGGAAATGTGAAGAGAATAGTGCCATGGAGACCTATTATATAGCTTCTTACTCGGAGAGGCGGAATCCAATTTGACGCGTTTGGTGTTTCAGATGATAGCATCCTCGACTCTCCTCCTCCTTTTCTATTCTTATCACCACTTATCACTATTCGACTAATCAAAAATAGTGTGGAAAAGCAAGAGTGTTTTGTTGCGCCCAACCATATTTTGTGTCCGAATATGTATCTAGTATGGTCGTTGATGAAGCTCCGCCCTATTCTCTTCTTCCATCGCCCCGATTTCTTTTAGCGATGTGGATACTGTAGAAAGGTTGATGCGAAGCCAGTATCGCGCACGTCATTCATCTTCTGTCGGTTCAATGTTCAACACCGCATTTTACTCTTGGATTTCCCTATGAAGATGATACGGCGGCGACGACGAAGATGATTTGAATTCTAGGTAAAGACAGACAAATGTCTATGAAAATGTCCAGGGTGTGATAATCATCTATTCCGGACGAACAAGAAATGAGAAGAAGGGGAGGACTTTGCAGGAGAAATGGATGGGAGATGCTTGCAGACGATAACGACCATTTTTGAAATTATTTGATTTTCTCTTCCCGATGTTCTTCAAGTTGCAAAAGTCAAACACTTTCGATTACAACTGTCTTTCCGTGTGACCGTCTGATGACAAAGATCGTTTGACCCTGGAAAACTATAGTTTCTGCAATCGTTTCTTTCTGAAATTGTCTTTTTTGTGATGTTCACTTCTTGTTCTGATTTTCTTAAGATTACTGTAGTTATGTCCAATAAGTTCTGTTGGATGGGTGTTTCTCCTAACTTGGGCGATAAGAAAGGGTTACTGTATGTTTTTTGCCTAATTTTAAAATGTAGTTGTAACTTTTAAAAATCCAACTTGTTTTCCAATCTTTTCTCGATTCTTGTGAGAGATATCCACAATTTGTCAACTGACAAATTACTTATGATAATTTCAGTAATATTTTATCAGTTAACAAAATTTTTATATCTCTCACAAAAAGCGAGATAATTGAGCTGAAAGTTTAAGATTTGGGTGAGCTTCTATTAGAGGAAATCAGTATGCGACTAACCAGTAAAAGAAATAGGTTACCGTAAAAACTGTAATATAACGCCACATGTATTAGAAGACCCCATCTAATACAGCGTCACCCTTAAAGGGCGTTTACAGGTAGCAAAACAAAGCTTTCATGCTCGATTAACACAGTAATAGTGGAATCTACTAATTTCGCACCGTTTTTTCCTTTTAGTGCCCTTTTAAATAAGTAAAAAATCAAGTTTTGTTACCTCGCATCAACCCAAAACACCCCTTTGAAAAATAGAACGCCATGGCGCTATATTAAAGGTTTTACGGTAAATTGCGCCGAACGCGAACCAGCCAGCTGTATATACATGTTTCTCCAAACTTATCCTTCTTATTTTAGTTGGTTTTACTCCTTCTAATTACAACTTTTCATAACATTATATCATGAGGGGTCATATAATTTAGAAGCCTAACTCGAAAAATAGCTTTCCAATAAAAATCTGGTGCTGATCATGGTCTTCTTTGCACCAGATGTTGCATATGTGCACTTCTCGAATTCACTGATATCGTAAACCGATTCTTGTGCTCATCGTCCAGCGGAAATTACGCATGTGTCCTTTTTTGGTCTTGTTACGAAATGCTCAAGTGTTAATCTGTTCATACAATGTTTGGTCACAGACTGTCATTAATGAAAAAATCTGAAGGTAATTGATAATCATAACCATCGAAACAAGTTTTTTTCCATTCCAAAACGACATCGCGAACACACCGTTGCTACTTTTTTCATTAACATTATCTTTTGGTATCTGATATTTGAGAACATGGAAAAAAAGAAAAGTACTTTTTTTTAAGAGATACGGTATCATCTTTTCCTTGTGACATCTCTCTAAAATTGGATGTAATGACATCATTGATTTTCGAGACGGTTATCGTATCTGACACAGACGAAAACTAAATGTCCTTAAAAGATTAGAAGAGATCTTCAGATATAGTATATTCTGACTTTATGATCAATTGGACATTTTGTCCCGCTTCGGAATTTCAAAACATCCGAAAGACTGGATTCAAAAGACGCTTTGATTGTTTATGGGCATGTATCGTTGATCGACGTAACGATATCACTCATTAATCCGTTTCATTTCTTATCCTCCTCGTCTGTTCACAACAAAAACATAAGATTCATTCAGCCGTTTCTTTATATTTTGTATTCATTTTGTTGCTTTATCTAACCCGGAAAATGATAAGCTTTCACTATAATTCCACATGTGCAAATGGCACTTCATTCACTCATCGTTTCTCCCGTCAAGTGATCACACTAGAGACACTTATCAGTTTCTAATTGAAAAAGCAACGAAACAAGATCAACCACAAAAACCAATCCGCATGGATTTTTTTTCGATGCTTTCGGTTTTGGCCATCCATCACGAAGTGACTTGTCGCAGCGAATCACGTATCACGGGCACTTTAAAAAGGGATTCCATTTGGAGAACCAGACTTTTTCCGTTTAAATCGAAACCATCAAACTAAATACAAATTCCAATCAATGTTCAAGAGCATTATGAACAGTTTCCTGTTTTGCGGTTAGAATTAAAAGGGAAAAAAGTGTTTTGATGTGCGCCGTATGACTTGTTATTCGGATTGTCGACGATCACGTCGTGGTACAAGATGATTAGACCAAGCTACATTCGAAGTTTTGCAAATCACCGGTTTGTATGTATTTTAGACAGTAATCACAGTAGTCATAGAAAAGGAATCAACAACAGTATCGTTGGGTGGGACAGGTTTCGAAAAAGAGCACACGAGTGTATATAGTTTGGAGTAATTCGCCGAAGCAGTAAAAAAGACGTCAGTGCTTTTACGATGGAAAAACTCTGGAAACGCACGAAACTCTTATTAGCAACACACTACGATTTGGAAATCAAACCATTTAAAGTTCAGGGTACATTTTTTGAAACCTGAATTTAGGACTTTTCTTGAACATCATAAAGTATTTCACTTATATACAGTATTCCATTCCATGTTCCGTGCGATGATAATCTGAACTTTCAACATGAACCATTCCACATGTTTTGCACCTTCAAAGCTGGCTGCTAATCACTCGATCCTTTTTTTTCTCATTAGTCAGATACCGTATTCCTTCTAATAGAAGCTCACTCATACCATAGGGTGAAACTCCGAAACGTATAATTTTAATTCTAAAAAGCAACGCTTTGGAAACTGGTTTTTTTTCAAAATCATGAAAATTATATTCAAATCATCTGAATGAAATAGGGAATTTCCGATTACTGTAAGGCAATATTGTCATGATAAATACCAAGACTTTAGCGTTACATTCATTGGCGAATTTCAGACTGAACTAAATTCATCCAAATCGTCAACGCTGAGCTCAATTATCTCGATTCCTGTGAAAGATGTCAAAATTTTGTTAACTAATTAAATTATTGTGATCATAAACAATTTACCGATTGACAAAATATTAATGTCTTTCACAGGAATCGAGATAATTGAGCTCAAAGTTGACAGTTAGTGGGCTTCTATTAGAGGGAATGCGGTACAATTTGGATTTGGACATGGCGTTTATTGGGATAGCTATGGTATTCTCATAGTCAGTTTTTTTGGTGGACTGATGAATCGGGTGAATAAGGAGAAATCAAAATAAAAAGTTATTGTTTGGAAAGTATACAGTACACTTTTTAAGGTCATACCGACCAAAACTGGTGCCTCTAAAAACAAAATTTAGATTGACAGTACTTTTTTTTTGAAACATCGGCATCTTTCGAAGAGTTTGAACTTTTGGAAACAAATATTTGGATGTATTTGGAAGATTTTATCTTCAACCACCGTACTTGGTTACTGGCAGGCGGTTGTGTTTTAGTCGATCTAAATAGTACAATACACACGTACACCTTGGCAAAACTTTCAATTACTCACACTCTAATTTGATCTGATTTATATTTTGCTGTAACAGGAATTTCCCTGACAATTTTATCGTTTCATTTGTATGAGTTCCATCGTTCAAGTATCAGCAGTCTAATGACTGATTTTTCTTTGATCGACAATGTAAACGTTTTATTATAAAAGTCCTACTAATGGATTGTGCAACTTTTGAATCTCCTAGATAATTTTTCGAGCAACTTTTAAGTTTAAGTTGAATCGCTGACAATATTCTGTATTACCGTAAATATTACTAGACATTCATGAGTTTCACATTTTTTGAAACTTTAAAATCAAAGAGGTTGACTATAGAAACCAGTAAGAACTCAAATTACTGTAATATAAGGGTTTTTTGATATATTCGACGGGAAACCAGAAAAACTGGTTGAAATTTGATAGTTAGAGGCCCATTCTATTACAGGTTTTTCGGTAGGACTCAAAAGAAATTATAAGCAGTAGAAAAGTTTCAGGTTGAATAGATTTCGTTCAGTTTTAATTATCCTGTGGACTATGCTACGCTTACATGTTTCATCAACTTTTTCGTTAAAGAAACAAAATGCTAGTCTTTGGAAACTGTAGAGGAATTCTGGCTTAAGCTCATGAAAATTTATGAGATGTTGTTCAAATCATGAAGCGTTAACTCACCGTTCTCATTCAAAGAAGGTCCATGATAACTTTTACTAATTTCAGATCACATCCATAATGTTGGTTGACAATTATTATGGAGATATTTAGAATCCTGCAGCTATTTATCCCATTGCTTGATAACTGAACCCTTTTTGGTGCATCCACAACTTGTTCTTTCTGATTTTCAAAGCAAATATTGTCTCTACGATTTTCCCGCTCGTCGCTCCATTTCAGCCAAAATACTCTCCATCTATTATTTTTGAACAAAACAAACGTCGCCCAACCATTCCTGGAATGAA